GTTCAGTGGGGGCGGAAGGGGGGCCTCTGTAATACTCTCAACAATAAAGAAAAAAAATTAGCCAAGTGTTGCCCTGGCTGGTTTGGCTCCGTGGTTAGAGCTTTGGCCTGCGGGCTGAAGGGTCCCGAGTTCGATTCCGGCCAAGGGCACGTTCTTCAGTTGTAGGCTCGGGCCCTGGGCGGGGTGGGGGCGGGAGGCCGCCAGTCGGTGTGTGTGTCTCTCTCTCCCCTCCACTGTCTCTGAAAAGCAATGGAAAAAACATCCTCGGGTGAGGGTTTAAAAAGATAAAAATAAATAAATGAAATTAGCCAAGTGGTAGCCGTGGTGATTTTGTTCCCCCCACCTCGGAGGGTGCGTATGAGAGTCCTCCTGAAGCCACACTGTGTGTTCTTATTTTCCTCTGAACAGTGACCGTTTTAGGCCCCAGGGGGACACAAAACCTGTCTTTCTACGTGAAGCCCTTTCTGCGGGAACCCCAAACCCGAGCTCCCAGCGAACCCCCAAGCTGCCCATTGTGGCAACGAGGGCGCCCGGTCCCCCCGCAGCCGGGGTGCTTACCAAACCCCTCCCAAAGCTCACGCCCTGAGGGGAGGAATAGGGGACACCTGTAATACTTTCCACACCGAAGTAGAATTTCTTTTAAAACTTCACTTCTTGAAATTAAACGACGTGGGCAAAGCCGCCCTGCGGAAGTGTGAGTGCTGCCGGGAGCTCGGTGGGCGCACCCTGGGCTTCATGGGTCGGAGGCGATGGCAGCGACCTGCCTTGGGGCTCACGCTGGGAACCCGAGGGGCGACACGGGCCACCCGAGAAGGCGGGGTCGTCTTACCTCTCCGCACGCACACAGGGTACGTCAGTCGTCCTCGGCTGCACTGCACGGAGAACCCGGGCGGCGGGGCGGACGGCGCCAAGTCGAACCCGGGCTTGCACACGAAGTCTATCCAGTCGCCGTGCAAGACCTTCCCCTCGTATCTCCACTTCAGCCCGATGTTGTTCCTGGCCATGGACCCCTCGTCCACGGTGCACGGCTCTGCAAGACAAGGCGCCCTCGCCAGTCCCCCCCCCCCC